TCTCATTTTATTTTTTACATCATACAATTTCCCGAATGACATATTTGATAAATTTCATTAGATCCGTTTGAAAGGACAATATCGTTATTCTGACGCACATACTTTTATTTCAAAACATGATTCTCAGGATACATGAATCATATATTAATATACCTTCATTTATAACAGATACCTCACCATATCACGAAACATAAAAGTCAACAGCCAGTGCCAACAAAATTTATTTTTCAAAAAAGTTTTTTGACCGAGTTGGTCTAATAATGTCATTTACAAAAATATTCACGACTCGTCATAAAACAGATTGTGTTTAATAGAGGGGGTTTAAAAACTGCTCAATTCTTTAAAACGTTTTTGACAAATTAGACGTAATTTTACATAAATAGTTTAATACCTTATTACAAAACTGAAAAATTGTGTAGTGCAAAGTCTGAAACTAATTATTAAACCTGTGCAAAAGTATTGGATATATGTCTTATTTGGATAGATGTTATTTATTTTGTTGAACAACTTTTTTGACATCTAATTTTTGATCTTCTTGGTTTGATTCTTTTGTTTCCATTTTTAACTTTTCTGATTAAAAAAAATCTGATTTTCCTTAGTCGACCTTGTTATTGATCCAATTAGAGATTACTGATTAACTGAGTTACTTGTTAACTTCTTAATTTCCAGATTATTCTTTGTGAATAATAATCTGGAAATGTTGATATCTCTTTGACATTAGGATAGTTCTCTCTTAGGATTCGGTTGCTCAACTTTTGACAATATAATTAGGTATTTTCGTTATCTGGTATAAATCTACAGCTAGTCCTGCCATAAATTCTGATACAAGTGTAAACGTTCTGATGCGTCACTGGTGATAGCGTTACGCGCACTAGTATCTGCTTCTTCATTCAGTTTCACTTCATAAATAATTATGAATTTTTTCCTTATGGACGTGAATTTACGTTTTATGGAACTTTCCTTTAAATGAGGATAAACTTGACTGAGCATATGGGACAAAGCTAATATGTCTGTGGTATATTCTTGAATTGTGGTTGTAGGATCTGTTGATCCCGTAATATTCATTTGGAGCATGTTAAGTTGATCAAAGTTTAGAGGGAAAGGTAGATGGTGATTTTCTATAAAGTATTCAGCAGGGTCAAGTAAGAGAGAAAATGAGCATTCAGAAGTGTTTGCTGAACTAATTTTACCTTTTTTAGATTTTGATTGGACTTTAGGTGGTGGAAAAATGTTACATTCCATTTGAAGATGGATCTGCTTCAGGTGAAATAAATTCATCAAAGTTGCGTTTTGGTTGATTAATTATGTGACTGTCCTTATTTGATGCATCTACTTTGTTCGGTATCTCCGGGATATTAGAAATAGACATTTGTTCACACTGAAAAGGGTTTGTTTCATTGGGTGCTTGCAAGGATATATTTGTTGCGCTGAATACCGATGCTTAATTGTTTTGGTTAGGGTTTAGTTGAGTGAGTGGTTCGGAGCACTGTAAAGCAATGTGACCTTGCTTCTTGCATCTAAAGAAAACTAAACTGTCTTGAGAAATGAATCTTCTATATATCGTGTTGTCAAAAACAAGAGTAAATAACGCTGGTAGTGTTAGACTGTGGGGACTGATATAGATTTCTCTTCGAAAACTAAGGATGTGATTGTGCTCAGGCATAGAAGCACTAATTTTGAGGAATATCATGGGGGAGACAGGAACTATGTCGTTTTTTTGTAACTCATTGATTAGCAAGTCATGCGGTATTGAAGGACATACGCCGGAGAGCACAAGTCGTTTCGCTGGTGTAACTAACCTTTTTGCTCTGACAATTTCCCCTTGTATGTCTATTTTACTATGATTATTTATAAAATCATCCACTATTTGTTTATTGAATAAATACATACATATGCGATTATTAGATAATCTAGTAGAGAAGATTATATTTTTCGGTTGAATTATATTTCCAAGTGTGAAGGTAGTCTTGAAGTTTGGTGTTTTCTAAGGCACTAAAGATAATTGCTTGGGATTTTAAAGGAAATTGCACTCTCGTCGCTGCCAAAGAGTATGACTGTGATGCGTTTATTTGACTTTGATGGTATTGCATTGTAGAACTGTTGTGTGATTCCATGTTTGAATTCATTTTGATAAACGTTAAGTGAAAAGTAAGTTAAGTGTACAGCTGCTAAAATAGGTATATCGGTCTTTACTAAAGGCGGCTATTTTGCTGGTAAAATTGGATTTATTTGCTGGCTAATACTAACAATAACAAATAATTGCAATTTGCTGACTTTAATGCTAATTTAACTGGATATTATGTGAAGAGTTTGTACACTTACAGTTTATTTCAATATATCACTATGATTCACAATTTATAACTTATATTAAACTTTGTCGGAGCACACATTAAATACAACATTATAGTTATCGATGCAGAACCGAATTCCAATAAGTTAATTATTATTGTGTATTAGCGTCGTTATTCCGTATTCTGTTAATTTTTGTTTTGAATTTTAATATCATACTTCTTAACAATCCCCCGATAATATTGTCAATAAAAAACTATTCATACTTTCTCCTTTCTCCTCAAGAAATTGGCCCTACATGGATACATGGATGTGCAGAATAGTATTGTCTTACCAACATCGTCGTGGTATAATTAAGCTGATAGTGTCTTTACTTTGAATCATTTCTCTTGAAAAATCTTTTATTTTCTTGTGTACAATATCAATCCATGCACCAACAAAGGACAGACCAATGACAAATTGAACAATTTTAAAGAACTGCTCAATTGGGTCGGTTAGTTCTTTTTTTACTTTTATTGTGTTGTTTTGCTATATATTTTCGATCGTTTTGATTATTCCTAGAGGTATATTTATTGCGTATAATAAAAGGATAACATCCTTTAATTTGACTCTCTCATATGCCTTTTTCAGGTCCTCCTCCTCAGTCTTAATCCCTTTTGGGATGTGTTGACGCCATCAGGCCTTTACAGTTTTTTCACGATTTTCCTCCATCATTCTCTGTCCTGGGAGTTGTTCGACTTCATGTAACCCTTGGTTAATCAATATTTTTGTTTGATCTACCCAACGGCTTGGAGATCTTCCCCTAAGTCTCTTTCCTTCAACTCTACCCTCGACTATCAGTTTTTCCATCGTACCTGTTCGTCTAGCAATGTGTCCAAAATACTGCTAATTTTTCTGTTGTATTTGTTTAAGCAATCTATCCTTTACTTTAAGTTGTTCTAATATCGATACGTTAGTGCGATGATCAATCCAGGATATTGTCAACATGCGGCGGTATACCTACATTTCAAAAGCGTCCAGTTTATTTTTATCCGCTTTCTTTAAGGTCAACGTTTCGGATGCATATGTGGCTATGGGAAAAATGAGCGCCCTTACCAGCCTTAGTTTTGTGTGTATTGTTATGCTAGAATTTTTCCAAACTTCAGGTCCACAAAACATAAATATACCGGATTTTTGTATTCTGCTGATTTTTCTAGCACTTCTTATTATAAATGTAGCGTCGGTGCATGATCTTCTCGATCTGGTAAAGTTATAATTTCATTGAGTTTCTTTGTTATCACTTTAGTTATTAATTTTAGTTTTGTGTTATATTCTGTTTCTTATTCAATATTAGCCTCCTAAAATGTTTAAATTGTGGCACCATCTTTTTCTTGGTCTGCCAATACTTCGTTGTCCATTTGGTGCCATTCTACTGATGTGTTCGTTCTATCAGGAACCAGGACTACTTTGAATTTAATAATAAAATATATACAAATAACAGTGCAGGACTTATAATGGGTAATCCTCTAAGCCCATTGCTATCAGATATTTTTACGGATCATCTAGAGACAAAGATGTCAAAACATCCCGTATTCAAACAGTTTTTATATTGGTGGAGATACGTAGACGACGTACTGGTATGTTTCACAGGAACTAACAGGCAACTCGACCAATTTTTATCGTATATTAATTCACTTCATAGTCATATTGAATTTACAATAGAAACAGAACAAAATCAATCCATAAATTTTTTAGATTTAAAACTTAGCAGACTTCAAAACAAACATGACTTCTCCATATTTCATAAACCTACCCATACTAACACGACTATACACAATTCATCATCCTATCCAACACAACATAAACTAGCAGCTTATCATAGTATGTTACATAGATTAACAGAAATTCCTATGTCAACAACGGATGCAACGAACAAACAATTAATAGAATGTTAAATCAAAAACTACACAAGAAAGCCCTAAAATTAGTATTTCCACCACCAGAGAACAAACCCAGTACCTTCTGCTCGATTACATATACAGGCAAAATAACAACAAAAATTGCCAAACACATAAAAAAGAAAGAAATAACACCAGCTTTCCGAACAAATAACAACCTAGGCAAATATATTAAAAATAACAAGAGTCAAAATAAAAAACACTTAAACAGTGGTGTGTACAAACTTCAATGTGGCGACTGCCCAAAAACTTACATCGGTCAAACTGGTAGAAACTTTGATAAACGAATAGCAGAACATAAAAGGGCTTTCAAGAATAGAAAAACAGATTTGACATACGCACTTCACCTTCTTGATCATAATCATTCTTTTAATGACAAATTTAAAATTCTTCACATTCAAAATAAAGGACTTAAGCTATCTTTGTTAGAATCTATGGAAATCAACAAATTAAAAACACAGATATAATTCTGAATGACCAACTTGAGACAAACAGTTCTCCCCTCCTCAACCCTTTTCATTAGAGACTATAAATTTGTAAACCCAAGCCAAAAATAGATCACTTGAGAAAGGCAATCAGCCGAAACAACTGTAGTGATAAGATTTAAAATAAATTTTGTGGAAGTTTGAAAACAAAGTTTTCAGTGTTTTATTGTTACATAAAATGAATTTCCATCAAGTAACGGTCGAATCCATCAATTAAATACCACCAAATTTATATCTACACTTTTTCCAAGCCAGGTAAATGATCTGTGAAAAATATAATTAAACTCACCGTATATTTCCTCGTTTAATTCGTAAAGCTGAGGTTAGATGCTTTGGCGCTGCTATCCGAGGCCCCGTAGGGCTGTAACACTAGCTGGCCTCTGATATAAGGTTAGGATGGAAATCTGAAAAATAATAACATATATTGAGTGATTTATGTCCTGTACATATAATCCGTATAATAGCATTTGAATTGGTCAACAACACAGCATTATGACGTCATTTTGGTATCCCGTAGCATCATCAGACGCTGGAGCTGAATACAAAATCATTTGTATTTGTTGGTCTGTTATATTTGATTCTGCAATAAAATTGGATCCTTTGCGATGAAAGGTTAACCATTTCATTGGACTAAATAATGCCAAAAAACATTTAATGATTTAAGAGATGATAAATGAGATTTAAAAAATAGATTGTTAACTCAACCCATATTATCATCGATACAACTCTACCAATACCCATGTGTATTGCTGCTAGTTTACTAGGAATAGCAGGGATGCTAAAACAATAACAGAAAAGCAATGAAGAAAAACCAAAACAATTGTCTATTTTTCAAAGAAACTAAATGAAGGCCAGAAGAGGAAAAATGGTATAAACCTGAAGTGCCTGGCATTTAAAGAATCTGTTAAATATTGGTAAGTTTACTTATTAGGTAAAAATTTTTACTGTTTTTTTCTGACCACAAACCATTGAAAAATATGAATACAAAGTCTAGAATGGCTGAAGAACTGGGCGATTTAACATATTATTTATTACAATATGACTTTATGACTGCCTGATTCCGGTAGCAGAAATCCTGTCTTAGAACTAGATAAAAATATGGAGATGTTCATAGAAATTTGTGTCGTATATGTATATAGTGTATGGGACCATACCACACAGCTCAAAATTTAACAAAAAATATAAAGAATACATGTCAAAGCTGTGTAGTATGTACTAGAAGCAAATCAAGAGAACTAGGAAAATTTGGATTAATGTCACATGTGGGCCAAGTCACAAAGCCGTTCGAAATTATTTCCATAGACACAATCGGAGTTGCAAAAAATATTTACATCTTTTAGTAGATCACTTCACACGATATGCATATATCTTAACATCAAAAACGCAAACTTAATTAATAAAATCATATGTAAAATTAATGAAAAAGAACAAATAACCGATTGCACAACAATAGATCAAGAATGTGTGTTCAATAACAATGAAACGGAACATACTGCTACTGGTTTTGCTCCATCATACCTAACACATGGCAAAAAACTGCAATGTTGAGTGAGACTGGATACGAAAACTGCTGAGAAAGACTGGATACGAAAAAGAAATATTATTTTAGATAGAACGATCAAATCTCATAATTATAATAAACAAATTTATGACAAAAACCGTAAATATTTCAATTGCAACATAAGTAATTTGGTATTTGTAGACAATGGAAACAAATTATGTAATTTGGTATTTGTAGACAATGGAATAAAATTTGACGAATTAAAAATAAAACCCTATGAACTTACAAAAAAACTGTGAATTCAATTTACAGAATAAATCAGAATCCAATATATTCTATATATCCAAGCTGATGTCAATCTCAACACCCGAAGATGTAAGTTTTGTATGTTTCTCCTCTGGAAGGAGTATGTAATGAAATTATAATTTCATAAAATTCAAATATTGCCGCGCTCTCCCGAGCACCAATTATATTAGACGGAACATTAGACACAGACACTTCTGTCATCTTTGTATTTAAAACGAGTAAGATTTTATTTGTGACTGACGTTTCTTCTGCAACTACGGCAGATATTATCAAAGGTGCTGCAGAAGTAGACGTAGATGTGATCTCTATCTTATCGTTTCCCCCATTAACTCATAATCCTCTGCAGTAGGCAGGGCATGTGGCTTGTGTGCCGGAATCGAACGCGAAAAAAAAAAGATTTTAATAGTGCAACCGGTGGAAATGAGAAGAAGGGGTAGACCAAAGCTGAGGTGGATAGACAAGGTAATACAGGACACAGCATGCTGAGAAGAATGCGAGGATACCTTAAAAGAAGCAAACAAAAGAAGAATCGACTACCTAGCAAACCCGACGGATGAAAAGCGTGAACAATACAATAGAGAGAGAGCCTTAGCCAGAAGAACAGTAAGGAGAAAAAAGAGACAACATTTACAACAACAAATTGAAAAAGTAGAACGTGAACACAGAAGCAAGCAAAATAAAAAATTCTACAAAGAAGTAAGACAACATAAGAAAGGTGCATATATAAGAACACCGAACTTTGTGAGAGACAAAAATGAGCAAATGATTACAGCTGAAAATAAAATAATCGAAAGATGGGCTGAATACTTTGAAAGTCTGCTAAATGTCCAGGTAGACGCGGATGGAAATAAAGCAAATTGTGAGTACCAAACGGCCGAGATAGAAGTACCCCTACCACGCCTGGAAGAAATTATCACGGCGATAGAAACCCTAAAAAATGACAAATCCCCGGGACTAGATAATATTGATGCAGAATTGATTAAAAAAGGAGGGCATGAACTTAGAACTAAAATACACCAATTAATGAAAGAAGCCTGGGAACAAGAAATAATTCCAAAAGAATGGAGTGGCTGTATTATCGTGCCAATACATAAAAAAGGTCAAAAGGATACATGTGGCAACTACAGGGGAATCTCACTAATCGGTACTACATATAAGATATTAGCTTCAGTTGTACTAAAACGATTACTGCCATATACAGGGGAAATTATTGTCGATTACCAATGCGGCTTTAGGCCTGGCAGATCAACAATCGACCAAATATTTACTATCAGACAAATGCTAGAAAAGTATTGGGAATATAATAAAGAAGTACACCAGATCTTCATAGATTTCAAACAAGCATATTATTCCATAGATCGCTTAAAACTGTGGAGTGCAATGATGGAGTTAGGCATACCAAAGAAGCTGACCATGATTGCGCGAATGTGTGTTAACAAATTCTTTGCACAAATTAGAATAGGAGGCAAAACTTCAAAGGCTTTCGGCATAAGCACCGGGCTTAGACAGGGAGACCCGCTGTCTCCATTACTATTTAACCTAGCATTAGAATACGCAATGCGAAAAATCTATACCAGAGTCAAACCAGACATAACTGCCAGAGGAGCAAAGATTATTCTCGCATTTGCAGATGATGTAGATGCAGTAGCACAGACAACACTGGAAGTTAAGGATATAGTATCGAACTTTGAAGAAGCAACACTAAGCGTAGGCCTGAAAATAAACGAAGAAAAAACTAAATACATGGTGGTATCAAAAAAGGAACGACAGCGAATAAGACAAAACATTACCATAAACGATCATAATTTTGAGGTGGTCAAAGAATTCAAATACCTAGGAGCAACAATTACCAGTGAAAACACAGGAGAACGGGAGGTTGAAATACGAATACTGGCGGGGAATAAATCATTCTTTGCCATTCAACATCTAATGAGGTCAAAGCTTCTCTCAAGGCGTACCAAAATCCAAATGTACAAAACCATAATACGACCAGCAGTGACATATGGAAGTGAAACATGGACATTGAGAAAGAAAGAAATCAATAAGCTATTAGTATGGGAACGCAAAATCCTGCGAAATATATATGGTCCTTGCAGGGACAGCGTGACAAATGAATGGAGGAGCAGATACAACAATGAAATAGAGACTCTCTTCGGGAAAGGTAACATCGTAAGATACATAAAAGCCAATAGATTAAAATGGGCAGGCCACGTGGTACGGAGTGATGACGACAGACTGATTAGCGATGTGTTTTGGGAAAGACCAGATGGTAAAAGATCGACAGGAAGGCCTAGAAAAAGGTGGAAAGACGCTGTCAGGGAAGACATGGAGAAGATGAAAGTAAGGCCATGGGAAATAATAGCACAGGATCGGAATCAATGGAAGGCAATAGTAAACGCGGCAAAAACTCACGAAGAGTTGTAAAAGCCAATGATGATGATGATGCTGAGAAGATCGCTGTTACCATTTGGGAAATCCCAAAGCAGAATGCTTGAGAAAGTCAGAGGCCTCTAAGGGCTGTAGCACTATGGTAACGATGAAGATTTTATTTTACATTAGTTTACTTTGAGTTTACTTTAGTTGCCCCTGAATAAAAAAACTAAATAAAACGCGGTACGTGTATTAAAATTGTTTTCAAAAAAGTGTTTTTTCAACAAATTTTCAAATTTTTATTTGCAAGGAAACAACAACATTGACACTATAACAGTTTTATTCGCTTGGAGAACTATAGTCGGATATTGATTTAACATACTTAATTATATCGGAATTTTAAAAAATAAACAAAAATATATCGGCACCAACATTATAATTCACTCTATTTATTTATTTTAGAATCTAGAGATAAATCTAACTTTTCTATATCACGTCTGTTTTGAACAAAACATTAGCCACCCACTTTAGAGTGGAAAATAATTTCTTAGGATTTTATATATTGTCTAATAAATGTACAACAGTTAACGAATGGTCGTTTTTGGAACCGTGAATTTTAGAAAATTGACAAAAACTTACTATCACTATAAAAAGTAACATTACTAAGTTATAGAGTAATGGTGCGACTAGTTTCGGGGTCAACAATTTGCACTCCATCCTCAAGTCGATACAAAAAAATTAACGGCTAAAAACAACATAAATAATTAACCAAAAATTATGGCAATATACTATCTGACGAGACATGGTTAAAAAATTGAATATCTTCTTCTTTCAGTACCCTGTCTGATTATCGAACGTTGGCGATCATATTGGCAATAATAACTTTGTTTACGGCGGCTCTAAATAAATTAGCGGTGGTCTTTTGATACCATTCTCGAAGATTTCGGAGCCAGGATGTTTTTCTTCGGCCTGGGCCTCTCCTTCCGGAGTTTTTACCCTGTATTATGAGGTGTAGAAGGTTATACCTTTCGGATGTCTCACTACATGACCGAAATATTGTAACTTTCGAATTTTTATCGTTTTTGTTATTTCTGTGCTCTTTTTTATTCGATGTAAAACTATTTTATTTCTTATTCGATCAACCCAACTTATTCGCAATATTCGTCGATAAATCCACATATTAAACACCTCCAATTTTTCCATTAAGGTCTCTGTAAGGGTTCAGGT